GCCTCCCTTGTCATCCTCTTCTTCCGAGCTGTTGATCTTGACTTGTAGATCTTCGAGGTTTTTATGACATTACACATTAATCGTCCATGAAATCCAGATGTTCCAGTATCTTTCCATAGGACCAAACTACGCACATAGTCTTTCTTCCTAATGTCTGTTACGTAATCAAATCCACCACAATCAGAAATATCAAAGTTGGTGGCAGTAACAGCCTTGTCTTATTCCTGACTTCACTTCAGAAGCTTCGTTGAGCTTCCTGTTGTGAATCACTTCACGGGAGTTAATGAAGTTGAGGTAGACTGGTTGACTTCTATTCTATGCTCTATAAGAGTGATGAAGTGTTCGCCTCATAACCTGAAAGTCTAGAGTTCAGTCCTCAGGAAGAAGTCACTGATAGATATACTTCTGAAGTGATCTCACCTAGGACAAAACAACTATCCAGTTATTGTGCGCTTTCGATCATCCTCTAATTTATGTCAGTTCGTGATAGAATTTAAGTTGGAAGCGGTCAAAATGTTCAAAAATCAAAACTTTAACAATATCTTTTCATTATTTCTATCACTTTAAAAGTTTATAACACGGCCACACCATTGAATAACACTCGTTTTTAGTTATCTACTTGAATTTCTTTGATAACTATTTATTAGTATTTGTCTGGTGTTGTGCTATAGAAGATGACATTTTGATACAGTATGCTTCAAATGCCATAAAGATAACCAAAATGTCAAAGTGTACATAAATAAGCTGCAACTTTCATTTGATGACGTAATGGCAAGTAAAAGTCAGTCAGACGTAAGCGAACTGAACGAATTTGAAAGACAAATAGGCAATTCACTGGATGCACATGTAATTCAAATTCACTATTAGCTATGATGGAGAAGATTTGTACCTCAGGTACATGATTTTGATGTAGCTGCGTTCTCTGAACTAGCTGGATGGTTTATTTGCAAAGCTTTCATTGCCCTACTGAGCAACATCTCCCTCAACTCAACTCTGTGTCAACCAAAACACTCAACAACCAAAGAAGATGAAACCAACATCATCTACAAAACAAATTGTAATGATTGCGAAAAACACTAAATTGGCCAGAGGGGATGTCCTCTTCGTCTTAAATAACCATGAACAAAAACTAGCCATCAAAAGACATGACATCCACTCCCTCTTATCACTACATACAGACTACCACGGACATCAATTCGACTAGGAGAACGTTCAAATATTAGACAGAGGAAACATCAAGAATGTTAGAGAATTTTTCGAAACTTCGTATTTCAATGAATCGTCAATTAATAGACTCATCGAAATAGACAAAATTTACCAATCGATAAGAGTGAAATCTGATACACAAAAGTCCCAACTTCAGGTCAAGGAAACAATCAGCACTAATACTAATACAAGTAGCCTAGAGGGTGTGAAAACACGCAATAACAACCAATCATTTCTAAAGTCACCCACCAGGAAAGACAACTTATAAACTCGTGGATAAATATAAGAGCTCACTTCAAATTGAAGTATGAGCTGAAAATGTTGCCTATTAGGGTGACGAAAGCTTCTCAAATCAACCATCCAGCTCAGAGAACACAATTACATCAGAATTCCCCTCTGTTTACCTCTCGACATATATTTCTCTATACTGGATTGTTATGCATTGTATCCAACTGCTTGTAATTCCGTTATCGATATCTAGACTCCCTTTTATTCAGTGTCATTTCAATGAGAGATGCAGTATGAAGTTCTGAATTTCTGCAGAGCCAAATCACTTTTTTTTATTATTGTTTCATTTTTATTCATTTCACCAGATTACATTTTATTAACGTAACTGGTGATAATTCAAGGTGAAGTGTAAATATGAGTTGCAGTTGGAATCCAGAAAACTGCAACTGACCTTCTGTAGGACAGTACTGAATATTTTCAATTGGACACTAATCAGTAACTAGTGTGATGTGTCTAGTCCCTTCTTTGGTGCAGACTGAATTGCTGAAGAGTACCAGATAGCACGAAACCTAGGTCCACGTCTTTGTGCCGATTGCCTTCAACCATCTAATATCATCAAATCAATGTGCACCATCGTGGCGAACCACCTAGTGGCATGGTGGCCACACTGCAAACCTGACTGACTGATAGAATTCAGTCTGCTGTAAACAACGGAATGGACTAGACACATCACACTAGTTACTCACTAGTATGCAATCAAAGATTCCATAAAGCCTAGAGTATTGACAGAAGGCATTTTCGATGGTTTACAAAAAAGTAAGATAAGGAATACGAACATAATCTCTCACAAATAATGAGCAAGAGTATCCATTTATCCGCAGTCCCTTCCAGTCCCTAGTCATACATTTTATGTAATTAAATAAAACGGTTACTGAACAAAGAATATTCTCTTCGATTATTTCATTATCAGGTTCTACAGTTATATATACACATAATAGTGAATGAATTAGTGTTATTAACAACATTAACGTTGTTTATATAACATCGAATCAATAATAATGATAATATCAATAGATTACAGTTCGATAGCATCAACATAACAATACACTGAATGTCAGACAGGCAAATTAGGAAAGATAATAATACAAATTCATGAATTTATAGTCTCCATTCAAGACTAGGGCAGTAGTAATAGTGGCTGGACTTGATATAAGTATAAAACTTGGGCACTGTGGTAGAGTATAACTCCATAATGGATAAGATTTTATTTTGATAAATCACATAGTGTTGTACAGTTATATTAACTGATGACGTTTCGAGCACAAACTATTGCTTCATAATCATGATCATAATCATGAGTGTTTTAATGAGTAAATATCAGATTTATAAAACAAAAATATTTTCGTTGATATTCACTAGATTATAGGATTTCTTCATAAGCTGACATCGGTTAGAGAACCACTAGAAAACCAGCTGGGAGTACTGTACCGCTGTTTCGTCCTAATTTTGGACTCTTCAAATCCCTAGAAGCCAATGCTGGAAAATTCACTAGATTATTTGACTATTTTATCTATCATAATAAAATGAAAAACTCAGTGATAACACTAACAAATTTCTTTGATTAAAACTCCTTCGGGTTCTGAAAGGAATGTAGACCTTCAACAGCCCGTCTCCATCGCATCCTTCCCCTGTGGACCTCTTCAGCAGGTTGCACGATTGCCCATAACTTCTGTTTCCTCCTGATACAACGTCGTCCACGTCACCCTTGAACGCACACTGAACTCGTTGTTTCCCAGAAGGATTCCACCACTAAGGGGCCTGTGGCGTGATGTTGCTCAGCATTCTCCTCAGCGTATGAACAATCCATCTCTGATTATTTTCTCTATATTTTTAGGCAATACATTCTTGGTTGGTTTGTTGTCTGATGGACTTCCTTTTTTCTAAACCTTTCCAGCCATCAGGCCATTAGTAATTATCGATTAGTTCTGTAAAAATATTATTATACAGAGTAAAAAATCAATAATAATCTAGAAAGTGTAATTTGAGGAAATATTATTCAATCTGAAGTACACTTCAATACTTTGCAGTGTTTCTACTTCATTTTATCTGAAGGATTTTATTCATCGCAGTAGGTTGAACACAATCTGAAAGTGAGCATGAATACAGAATATGATCCAAATAAGTATTTGGGTATGTCACACAAACTCGAAGACTTGCAAGAGAAAACCAACAAACTGGCTGAAGAGGTAGCGAAAACAGGACTGCAGGTGAACACAGAGAAGACAGAGGTGATGAAAATAAACAACCAACGAACAGCAACAACAACAACAGCAACCAGCACCAATCACCATCAACGGGAGAGATATAACAGAGGTTGCCTCCTTCACTTATCCGACCGGGAAGCATCGTCTCAACTACAGGCAGAATGGATAAAGATGTCAAAGTCAGAATCAGAAAGGCAAGAGACGCCTTCATCAACCTGAAACCTGTTTGGAAATCTTCCGCACTCAGCATAAGGAACAAGATTAGCATTTTCAACACCAAACTTGCACTGCGTGTGACGAAAAGAATTCCCATAGCCTATTGCAGATTTCCATCAACAACCGCCTTCACTCCATACTGAAGATCAAATGGCTAGCCATGAAGAATGGGCAACAAGAAACTATAGGAACAGACCAACAATAAGAGCCGGCTGCTCAACAAATATATAGGAGAAAGTGGAGATGGATCGGGCATACACTGAGTAGGCCACCTAATGACATCACACGCCGGGTCCTCAAGTGGAATCCAAATAGAAAGCGACGAGTGGGTCGTCCTAGGGTGATATGGAGGAGATGGTGTGAGGAAGAGATCAGAGAAATTGGTCAATCGTGGACCCAGCCGAAGGAGACGGCAGAAAACAGAACAAATTGGAGATGTGTTATTGAAGCCCTATTTTCCACTCAGAACGCAAGCGAATAATAATAATAGGTATTTGGATGGTTGTAACAAATATAAAATACAGTAAATATGATGTATTAAATTTAATAAAGGAATGATATCAGTTAGAGAATCACCTGAAACCAAGGAGTGCTGGACAGCTGTTCTGTAGCTATCCGAGATTCCTCGGCATTACTCACCCATGGTGCCAACGATTATGGAACCCAAGGACATCCAGGTTCGCTTGTATGGAAAAGAAAAATAGGTAGTCTAGTTTTATGGTTCACCCACTTGCGTCGTATAATGTAATTTTGTATGCCATTTTCAAATTCATAAAAATCCATGAATTTTGTTTTCCTTTGCTCTCCGAGTGGAACATTGGGCTTCGAGACTGACGTTAGAAGTTTCACTAGCTGTAGTGTTTCTTTTTACACGTTGGAGCTGTTAACTTCTCGCCCATGCTTTCTTCTATACTGGACTCGCTTCCGGCTAAGCGTCAACCGGGAATCGAACCCAGATTATGCGCATGGTTGGCGAGCATTTTACCACTGAAGTACCAACGTGGGAATCCTTTAATTAATCTATATGTTACTACTGCCTTGATATAATTTAACTCATTCTTCTTGTCATTATTTCATTATGTTTAGGCGTATATGAATTTCCGTCGAAAAAGTACAGTTGGATGGAGTATAGCCAATATTATGTTGGATTTCAGTGGTGGAATTCTGAGCATTGCTCAAATGATTATTATTGCATACAATAACAGTAAGTTATACACTTTTATGTATTTGTTTTTAAATCCGCTGCATGTAATTTGAAATAGGAACCTTTGTAAGTTACAAAATGGACATAGGGATCAAGCGATATCATTTGCTAAATGAATTTTACAGCTCCTGTATCTGAATAGGATTAGTGCTGCTTCAACAATTATCTTATGTTTCCCAGTTTGAGACTATTCGGCATCAAAAACACCCATTACCCAACAAGTGATTGAACTCATGACCTCTGGGTTACGAGATAAACCACCTCACCCTCCAGTCACTGGGATGGAATCCGATTGGGCAAGAATTGTAACTTTTGCCAACTCACGATATATATATATATAGCGCTTCCGCTATTGACGAGTATGTGTCTTCATAATCAATTAGGTGGACTACAATTCGTTGCGGCTTCTCACTAGACTTCCGGAAAAGCCATTCTACAGTCAGTTATCAATAGGCATCAGATTGTTTTTAAGATGCTGGTACAATTCATTTCTGTGATATGTTTCCTCCTAAGTGCAGAAAGGATTGATTGGCTGTGATCTGCGTTTAACGTATTTCAAAAAATGATGTCTGTACATAAATCATTCTAAATGGACGTGTTTTGTGGAGTCGTTTCTCGTTACACAGCTCTTAAGTTCTACCTTAGATAAAAAAATTTATGAGCACATGTCTATTTTCCTAATCAAACTAAAGTGAAGGATTTCTGCAGGGTATGACCGCATATTATCGTGAATCTAGCTGTTTCCAATGAATATATCACATAATAGATCAACATTTAGGATAAAAAGACGGTAGAAGGGTTGGGTGTTTTGAGTGAACAGCAGAAAACGTGTGTAAAAAGAAATTGTCGTGAGAGAAAGCCCTCTCTCTTTCTCTCGATAGTTGGTTTCAATATACCGCTGGAGTTAATATCTCATCATAAACAGTATGCCTTAGAAATTAAACTCCTATTTCAAGCGGTGTTACTTTCATAAAGTTTGGCATTCTAGTTTGTCAATGCGAGTGTTGGAAATCACCGCTGAATTCTGCTTCACTCATCATAAGAAACACGATTCAGGTTCCCAAATTTAATGCCAAGTCAGTATTTTTAAAGGATTGGTGTACCTGTTATGAAAAGCATTTCAAAACTCCTACCGAAGACTTTCGTTAACATCTGTATTCTCTGGCTCGAGACCGAAAATCAGACGGTTAATCAGTAAAGGTAAGCAGAAGGAATTCTAGCAAAGAGTCCACCAAGAAGCCATTGCGTAACAAGTATGCAGAATGAAGTAGGGATGGATTAAATATATGCTGAGGTGAAAGTTGAATGACATCGCATATCAGACTGACGAGTGGAATCCACATGAGAAATAACTGGTCAGGCTTGTGTTCAGAAGTGATATGGAGGCGAACATGTGTGGAGAGGAATCGGAAGCTTATCACCATTTGTAGAACCGTACAAAAAGACTTAAAAAGACTGATGAAATGCAGATGTGATAATAGTAGACGTGAAGCTTACGTTCATATCAGTGTTAAGCCATTTGCTGCTAGATAGCTGAAGGCGACCGTTGGGAGGCCTCGGATCCACATCAGCAAGGTGAGCTTGCCATTTTAATGGAACTCATATCCTTTCTCATAGAATTCAGTTACTCCCTAGTGTCCAATCAAAGTATCCGTTACACTCTTACAAGATGCCAATCGTAAGCCGGATTAGCTTAGTACTGAAGTCTCTGACTGCAGTACTGGTTGACCTGGTTTGAAATATCAGAAGTACCATGACCTCAGACTGAAGAGACATGTCTTATTGACGAGTGTCGACAGGCACAAAACCTACCTCCAAAGCGTCCTGATGATTGCTTCTAACCGTCATCTCTAAGGCGAGCCACCTAACACGGTGATCGCATTGGAAACCTGATTGAGGAAATTCACTCTGTAACAAACAATATTGAAACTCCGTGACTTTGTGATCACATACTAGAAAAGACTAGATGTATCAAATTATGGATGAAAATCGCAACCTAACATTGTTTAACTTCTCACTGACAAATTTGTACAAGCTTATATTGTTATTTCTGTTTTTTTGTTTCTCCTTCCCCTCCCTCCCCCCGCTCAACTCTATATTACTGCATGCAGATGATATCAGTAGTATAACTGGCTCACCGATAAAACTTGGCCTAGGCATATTGTCAATTGCATTCGATATATTATTCATGGTACAACATTGGTGCTTATATCGTCATCCACCAAATCAAGATTTCGATGTGATAACTGTTGAAGAAGAAAAATCTGACATAGAAGATCCGCCGAATAAGGAAAAACCAACCCCCTGATTACTGTTTTTTTCTCTGTGAATGTAAATAATACATTCTATCAAACAACAGAAAAAAAGAAGAGGAAGAAGAAGTAGTGTCACTCACTACTTCGATTCTTTCATTGCTGCTGTCATTTTCGTGTTCCTACATCTTTATTTTTGATACATATATATATATTATACATATCCTATGGTAATCATTTTTGATATACGAATCTCTCTCTGTCTCTCTGAGTTTCACTAACTGTCTTTCTCTATCCATGGCTCTTCCCTTTATTCTGTTCGCCTCACTTCTTACACTGCTTCCCTATCCATCCTTCTAGTTACAATCACAAGTATTATGATTAAAATTTACGTCTCTATCTCTCTCTCTCTTGAGAAAGAGAGGGAAAGAATAAATACTCTCAAAGCAATTCTTATTTCATCTGAATATACATGCATAAAATCGAAATGAACTGTTCATTTTCTTTTTTTTCTCCTTCATGATAGAAATTGTATCTGTTTCAGTGAGCAGTGTTCATCATCATTTATCTGCATGTGATAGATGTAATTTTGTTCGATCAAAAATTTTGTTTATTGAGAGTGCTTTTAAGAGGTTTGTTATAATCACTGATTGAGAAGAAAATTATGCTCAAATATCATGTTTTTAAAAAATTTACATTATATGGTGTTTGTGTGTAGGGAATTTTGTTTGATTGGTTGGAGGATTTCATGATGAGCTGACATCAGTTAGAGAACCATTAGAAAACACGGGAGTACTGTACAACTAGCTGTTTCGACCTGTTTTGGAACTCCTCAGTGGTGTGTACCCACCATCAAGTTTAGAACCTAAGTTCTTCTGATTACAAGGCGAGCTAGCTCGTAGACCATTAAGCCACTGGGATCCAATCCACTGGCAAGCCAGCCCATGAATTCTAACTTCTGCCAATTCTTGACATGCCATGACTACATCTTCGATGAGTAACTGTTGTCAACTTCACTCTGCTGCAATCTGCTGGTCACGGCTTCCCCTGTAGAACCTCAGATAACTGCCTGAACACTATGCGTAAATGGGTACATAGTGTTGACTATGGTGGAAAAGCGATGTGCAAGATATTAAAGACAACGTGTCTTTCCCCCCTATGATAATAATAATTTGCTTTATTCTAAAACAGTACTTGTGATACAGAATGGAATTCTCAGCATTTTTACTACAGTATTGCATCCAGTTAGTACATTAGCAATAAATAGAATTCTACATAGATTGAGGAAACCACAGTTCATTATTACAACAATACATTGGCATGTCAGTAGCAAAGGTAAAGCTGAAATAGTGTTTGAAGGTGTTAGAAAAGTGGGAGCTGTCTTATTAACTGGCGTAAGCGAGAGAAAGAGACAAAACAGCACATAACGGAAAAAGAAGAGACAGAGAGAGAGAAAAGGAAAAGAAAGAAAAAAATGTTGTACCTATTGATGATGTGGATTGGAAAGACGAGATCCGGTTGTACTACTGACTATTTAATGAATTATAGGTGTCACGCTTAATGCTTTCTTTATCACACAGAACACGAGCTAAGTAGGGTATGGCTGAGTTATTGTACTTGCTGGTGCGAGCATATAGTTTTCTATATTGGTTTCTGGTTTTACCTGATGAGATGCAAGGGGAGAGTTGTGAGTGAAGAGGGTGGTGTGAGTTAGATAAAATGGATTTGGCCCATTTTTCACATGAGTCCATGTGCCTGTCAACTAGAATATTAACAAGCTGGTTAAGTGGCACGTTGCTTACTCTGCTGACAACCTTTTACATCCTGCGTAATATGCTATAGTCTTTCTTCAGTAGCCCGGGAAAAACTAAGGGGGAACAATAGAGAATAAAAGGCAGGATGCGAGAATTAACAAATTGTAGGAGTAAGGGTTGGGTTTTACCAGAATGTTTTAACTTCTTAATGTAGAAGGTAAGACGGAATATTTTCTTAGAAATTGCTAAGATATGAGACGACCAGGAGAGATCAGCAGATAGAATGACACCTAGGTATTTAGTTTCCGATTTAGTTTCTATTTCAGTGCCGTCTATGTTGCATACCTCGTAAGAGCCAAACAGTTTGTTTAGGTCGGATTTATGCCTAAAGGTGAAATTGACCGTTTGGCATTTGGAGGGGTTTAGGGTAAGACCACTTTCCTTGGACCACTGACTGATTTCTGACAGAAAGCCATTAAGTTTAGAGCAGTCGCTTTGACATTTGATAGGCAAAGATACAGACAGATCGTCAGCGTATTTGACAAAATTAATGTCATTTGAAGATGGTAAGTCATGTAGAAAGAAAGAAAAGAGAAGTAGGGAGAGTACAGCGCCTTGGGGGACTCCGGCTTCAGTGATTACGGCAGAGGATGATTTACCTTTGTATACGGTGTACTGCATTCTGTTAAAGAAGTAGGAATGCAACCAGTTAGTGACCCAGGACTCAGTTTTTGTCAAAGAGAGCTTATTTAGCAGGAGACATCTAGGAACAGAGTCGAAAGCAGAAGTGAAATCAAGAAACGTGAAGCAAACGTATTTAGCGCCTTTATCTAGTGATGAGACGATGTTGTTGTGTAAGACAGCTGCAGCGTCTAATGTACTCCTACCCTGTCTATAGGCAAATTGTTTGGGGTCTACGAAGTTTTTAAGGGAGGGTTCAAGTTTAAGAAGTATAAGTTTTTCCATAAGCTTTAGAAATAGGGAAGTGATGGCAATGGGTTTGAACTTTATGTTCTTGCCGTTTCCAGGTTTGGGGAGAGGGACAATTTTGATGTCTTTCCCTGCATCAGGTACGATATTTTTGGAGAAAGAGACATTTAGGATGTTGGTTAGTGGAGAACACAACACATCTGCACATTGTTTTAGAACATAGGCAGGTATACCATCAGGACCAAGGCTACGTGAGGGCTTGAGCGTTTTAAGACATTTTAGAACATCGAGAGTAATAAAGTCATGAAAGTTTTCAGCTACATGATAGGTAACATTAGAAGTAGTTAAAGTAGAAGGACAGCGTATAAAAGACTGATTAAGAGCATTAACATCATAAGAGGGAAAAGCATTGCAACGCTTACTATTGCCAGTAATTTCATTAAAAAGTTTCCACATGCTGATTGGAGATTTACGTGATAAAAGTGTATCATTATGGATAGCATTAAAATTTTTGATTTCAGATTTGATCTGAGCATTAATCTTTTTGAGTCCTAACTTGTCTTTGGATTTGTATAAAGTTTCTTTTTTCCTGCGAAGTTGTTTGAGATAAGGAGATGAGAAGCGGTCGAGGCGTTTGAATAGAGTTTGTTTGGGACAGCATATATCAAGGCAAAACTTAAGATAATCCGTTATATTGACAATTGTGTCATCTAATGAACTTTCATGGAATAAATCCCAGTTAGTATTTTGTAACATGCATCTTAGATTGAGTAAGTTTTCTGATGAGTAGCATCTTTGTTGTGCTTTCATAGACAGATGCGAGAAGACTTTGATATGTGTTTTGCTGTAAATGTTTGGTAGAACACGAACAATAGAGTGATCAGAGTTGAGGATCGGTGCACGTTTACGTGCTTCATAGATTCCTTCGTCATTTGTAAAAACTAAATCAAGTGTTTTGTCTAGTCGAGTGGGAAATTTGACAATGTTAGAGTGACCAAGTGCTTCAAGGAAGGAGCAATCTGACGAGTTGAAGTCCCCAGTAATAACAGATAGAGAGTTATCGAAGTTGGCAGCAGCAAACATGGTGAATTCATCGGCAAAATTTGAAAGATTAGATAGTGAGCAACTTGGAGAAATGTACATGTTTGTGATAAATATGTGTTTATATTTGGGGAGATGTTTGGGACGACATCTGATGGTGATGCAGTCTACAAAGTCATTTGAGAATGAGAAGCAAACATTATTTGAAATAGACCATTTGGAGTTAATAAAAGTTGCAACACCGCTCCCATTTTTCTTATTACAACACTGTCGGTCTTGTCTAAATAGGATGAAGTCCTCTAGTGAGATGAGGTTGTCATCACACAGTTCATGTAACCATGTTTCTTGTAATGTGATTATCGCAGTATTGTGATAAGTGTCAGTGGACATCAAGGATTGTAGGTACATTATTTTGTTAGGCAGAGAGCGGCAGTTGGTGTTCATTATGACAGGGACCGTGGTTAAGTGTATTGGTGTACGTTTAAGAGCTTTTTGCCAGCCACTACGATGCTTCCTCCTTGATTTCTTGGGAACATGAAAGTCATTGGGTCGTAAATGAATGATAAAGTTGCGAGAGTAAATAATCCTTTTGGAATTCATATTTGGGTGATGAGTAAATGGAGTAAATGGTAGGTTGGATGCAATATGTAGATTTTATGATAGCAGGCCCAAAAATTCAGACAGGCCGCCAATGTAATACTAACATCCGGGCCGTAATATAATTAAACTACTAAAGATTTGGAATGAACGAAATTTAACAATTTTTTCAACTTAGAACTTCATAAAGTACACAGGTGGGTTGATGGAAAAGGAAGTAAACAAAAAGCCTGATAAACACATATGTGCAAGAGAGGATTATAAGGATTCAACGGAAATTGCATAGAACTGGTATAAGTAGTTATGTACTACTCACATTAACCAGTAGTGCTTGCTACCCAGTGACGTTGAATTTGTCCTAACACCGGACAGCCATTCCAATCGTCTGAGGCTAGGTTCATCAGTTATGTACCAGATTTGACTCATCTCAAAGGGTTGAATCATTTCGAACCATCCGATTTCTGGCTAGTTACCTGGCTGTAGTGCTAATGCCACAAATCTAATTTGCAGTCTTCCAATTTACGAGATCAGCAGTACGCTCAAGAAGCTAACCAGAAATAAGAGTACTTTGAAATGATTCCGCTCTTTGGGTTGAGTCATTCAGTGCACCGCTGATTTGACTCGCACCAAAAGACCGAAATAGCTGCCACCACGGACATCAATTTGACTAGGACAACGTTCAAACATTAGACAGGGGAAACACCAAGAATTCCAGAGAACTTCTAGAAGCCTGG